CCTCTCCCACCCCCCTGCCAGTAACACTCATGGCAAGAAGACCTTTGTGCCAGCTACTGCCACTCCGTGTGGTGGCAACACCCGCTTTTCTTTAACCGCGTGGGGAAATGCTGGGCAGAGGGACTCATCCATCCCACAGAAACATGTCATCTCGGTTTCTGCTACCTCATTCTGTTGTCACAGTCACAGCTTTGCTAAGCTGCTCCCTGTTAATCACGCCAAAATTCACTGCTGATCACGAGAAGCCTTCCAGTCCTCATATTCTCTTCCCAAATATCAGCTACTGGCTGCTAGGTGCTAGCAAAGTTGAAATTCCTGGTAAAACTCTGGGAGTTTAGTTTTGCTGAGTTCAGCCTTCTGAAGTGGCGTGAGATACCACAGGATAAACTGAACTCCGCCTCGATGCTTCGCCTGCGCAATTTGATGTATGGATCTGACTGCTTGATCACGGCACAGATGATTGGAAAATTGAAACTACTTTAGGGCACTTTCCATTAAATCAGCTGCAGTGCACACAGCCATACTGGTGAGTATTTAGAGAATTTTTTTTTTAATAAAAAGAATAAAGATGCAGCTAGATGCCCTGTTGGTAGTATCTGTGCTGGTAAGAAAATGAAGGGATTAAATTCTTTTCCATGTAATGCACTGCTTTCACCTCACCCCTTTCCTCTTCACCTGAATGCCTACAATCTTCAGGGGGGCACCAGAATGAAAAGCTCTTTCTGCATAGGCAGATCCAATCACCCCTCCTACAAATCTTAATCCATCGGATACTTGGCAGGGTTTCAACAAAGAGCCATGGGCCCTCCGGTTCCCCCATGCAGAGAATCTGGCCCCGCTGTGACCCTGCCATGAGCTCCGGCCTGCACATTACAGAATTATTTTCTTTCCTTTCCATCCATCTCAAAAGCAAGGATTGAAATTTAAGAGTTTATAAAAAAGAGATTGGGTAATACCAGACATTCAGACAGTCATCAAACCTTGCAGAGAACCAGACTGACAGAATGAAGAGAGTAATGCCACTCTGGGAGTTTAACTGTTGGTATCTTAAAGTGAATGCAATACTACGGAGAGCTATTTGCTGCACAGCATAGTAATTTTACATTGTTTTCATTATTTGGCTAGAAAGTATATTAATTGAATTGAGAACAATTAAAAAAATTAGAAATGAATATGTTGGATTTTCTGTCCTCTTGTCATTTTTATCATGACCATCACGTAACAGCTTTCAGAGTCAGGACCGTTTTCAAGCATACACAGAACTTATGCATGATAACCATCCTCCTTTGAGCCCAGTGAAAATAAACAAACGTTCCAATTTAAGCATATGGCTTAAATGGGCTCGTTCCCACTCCTTTCCCCAGGTGAAGCAGGGCTCAAACTGTTTTCTTACCTGGGTATGGCACTCTCCCTTTTGTTACCAGCTCTGTCAGTAGGATCCCAAAAGACCACACATCCGACTTTATTGTGAACCTTCCATACAATGCTGCTTCTGGCGCAGTCCATTTAATGGGAAACTTTGCACCTAATGAAAGAATAAATGAGTCTTAATCAGAATAAAGACAGAATCAAAGTGCCAGTTTGCAGGTGACTGTTGTGTTCTGCAACACGTGCGGGTGGACAGAGCTGCAGGCAAGTGTTAAAAACAGCTCCATGGAGTTCGGTCAGAGAGGACAGGCGGGTGGAACATGTAGGGCAGAAGGAAAGACTTAGCAGGGAAGGGGTGGTTTGTCCCACATCCCAAGAGAAGGCTAAGACATTTTAATTCAAGTTTGAAGTTTTATAAAAGAAGAAAAGTTTTAAAAAACAATAAGCCCAATATAATAGAAATTCTTTCTTCCAAAATGTTTTAAATTAACATTTCCCTGTGATATTCGCAAGTCAAACACAGTTAGCACATATGAATAGAGGTGAGATGTACTGGAAATGTACCTCCCAGTTTGCCTGCTCAAGCTGAGCAAAATGCAAACCAAACAAACATGGTAAAAACGTAAATTAAAAACAAACCTAATATTTCATTAGAAACATGCAAGGACTTAAAAAAAATACTGCCATTTGAGTTGCTTGGACTGCAATGATGTCAAGGCACAATTTTGGCCTGTGATTTATAACTTGACAGTATACTTTAAGCTCCTGGCACTGAAAAGCCTGTAGTGCCTTAAATACGTGCAGTTCTAATGTGCTCATCCATCATCAGAGCTTGCAGGAGCCAGTTGTGGTAAGGATGGTAAGATAACAAGCCTTTAAACACTGATGTATTTGCTTTTCCAATCATTTACTGTTTTCTTAGGGAAAATATTTTCAGTATGACTTTAAAGAAAAGTCTTGTGGTAATAATTAACTTGTAGTATGTACGAAAAAATATGCAGACATTTCCCTGGTGCCTTGTATTAACATACAGGCAAAAGAGTTGCATTGCTTGTTGCTGATCCCTAGTGACAAACACTCTTGAATTTGGAAACAGACTGACTTTGACTTCTCACCACCCGCTCATAAAAGTTCCCTTAGCTTTCAGGAGGAGTGTGGAAAGTGTAACAATGTGGACAAATCACTCTCAGGGAGTGAAGTTATGGCCCTGTTTACAGTTCCCTGCCGGTGCTGTTCCGCCGTCACATCCAGTGCTCGATGCCCTGTATCTTCTGCTATATGCCGCAATCTGACTTGACTCAGAGAACAAAGTAAACATGGTAATTCTCATCTCCTTACTTAGTAAAACATCAGGTGTGCTAAAATTTTTCCTGCTCTACATGTAAGTGATCCTAAGAGAGAATATTACTCAGAAATAAATATGTTTTTCTAGGGAAAATTGCAGTTGCTCAAGTAAGTCCTGCTAAATTAAAAGACGCAAGACAAAGTTTCAAATCCCTAATGCCTGAAGTCAGGAACTTAAGTCTAGTTAAGCATCAACACATCAGTGGTTAGATTTGCAAAGGTGCCAGAGGATTTCTGGATGTCTATTCACTTTCAAAAAAGTCTGCCTCTTCTGTGTTTTCATTAGTTGATATGCAGGCAGGAGCTAAAATTTGGGTGCTCGGCTTTGGTCTCAATCTCCCTAACTTACACTTCTTCATGGGACCAATCTTAGTTTACAAGACTCCAAATTTACAGAACTTCATCTTCTCTTAAAAACTGCCTTGGCCGTGATGTCCGAGATCTCTGCAGCAGCAGCCTGCCATCACTTGAGCCTCTGTCCTGGAAGCTGGCCCTGCTTCAGCAGCACCAGCAGCCACGTGGGGTTGGCGACCGGCTCCCCCAGCCACCGGCAGATCCTGGGGCTATACACCCCTTGTCGATCCCTGGAAAAACTGCAAGCTGCGTATATCTCGTGGTTGGGTTCCCTAGGCCTACAGTGCACGGCTTTAGATGGGCGTATGCAGGCATGCCGTGAATATGAGGGCTGATGTCCCCCTGCTCTCTCATACGTGCAGCTGAGATAGTACACACACACCATGCCAGCTGAATGAATAGCTCCAGGCTGGCCAGCAGCCCGAAGGCTTGGATGTTGGCTGGTGGTGTGTGAGATAGCCAAGCACGAGGGTCTGCTTGTTTGTGTGTTGCATGCATTTTATTCAATGCATTTTTTTTTTTCTTTAATCAGCTGTGTTTTTCTGAGAAGCTGAGCCAAACCTGGTCTAATTCCCTTGTGCCTCATACTCAGATCCAAAGGTAGCAGCCACCTACAACTCATCCTTGGAGGAAAGAAATCTCTTCAGACTCCTTTGTGGCCAACTCCCCCGGTATTTTTGCCTTCCTCATCTCCTGCTGGTGTGGCACTGGGATCTGAGTATGTGGTGTGTCGAGGGACCATGGGAAGATGAGAAGCAACGTAAGTAGGTGAGAAGGGGGGACAATTCCAACACATCCCTTCTCCTGAGAGCTAGAGCAGTACAAACCCCATTGGACTGTGATGAGCGCTGCTGGAGAAGACAAACGGTCTGTGCTGTGGATTTTCCGACGACAGGATAGCTACTCATTATGTTTCTATGTTGCCCCTGCTGTGGGTGATTCTCTGGCTAAAACAACTAATACAAAAATCACGTTCTGCATTTTGTGCAGTATTCGCTGAACTTTGGTTTGAAGTGATAGATGGGGAGGAGGGAAAGGCAAGGTTGGCAGAGAGGTCGCTAGCAGAGCCCTGCCTCATGGTTTTCTGGCCCTGCAACGCATGCTGGAGGCTAGATGGTCCAAGAGAGCCTGCAACCCAGTATGGCAGAGCCATCAGTAAGGGGAGAGAAGAGACCAGTTGAGGATGTACCGGGCCGGCCACCTGCACAGCTGCAGGTACAACGCATGCACTGCCATAACAAAAAGAGATCACACACAGCTTGTGTGAATAGGGGTGTGTGTGTGTGTGTGTCTAACAGGGATCCCCCCAGGGTGCTGCCTCCCATCTAATGTCTGGCACTGGAGACACGGGCAGTGCACTTCTATGGAAACACAAAAATCCTCAAAGGTGTTGAGCACCGCTCCGAAGCCTCCCAGTTGCTACTGCTAGATGAAGCGTTCGCACAGGCTGGAAGCTGTGCATGGCTCCTGACCGACAGACAGTCTCCACGCTTACTCTCTGCCCAACACACCGATTAAAAAACCCACCCCCTCCCTCTGCCCAGGCCTCAGCAGCTTATTAAACAAGCTGACTTTGTGCTGCAAACAAATTACAGCATCAGATCATCAGATAAAATGCATATTACTGACAAGCATGTTAATAAATCTGATAAGCCAAATTACCCCAGCTGACACGGGAGCCTATCTCCTACTTTGAAGGCAGATTTTACATCAGTGGGGGGGGATTTCTTTTTTTTTTTCCTGGAACCCGTTTTATTACAAACTAGCAGGTCAGTAACTCCACGTGTGCAAACCAACCACGCACCGCAGTCGTTAGGTCAGGATAGCCTGTCTTGGCCCCAAAGCAAGGTACTAATCTGCAGCTTTTATCTCTGTCCCTTTTTTGAAACATTTCAGCCCGGGAAAGCCCTTTTTGGGTTTCTGCACTGCTCGCAACCACATCAAGCCAAAGCTGCTCGTACAATTTACTGTTAGGGCAGCTGGCCCGGCCTCCTACCTCTGAGGATTTTTGTGAGGCTCAGCCCTGTTCTTGGGATCTCTGCCCGTCTCTGCCCAGGCATTCACACAGGTTATCTCCCAGAGGATTTCCTTGGGAAAAATCAATCCGTGGCCCTGCTTTAATTCTTCGTCGGCTATAAGCAGGTTGTGTGATGAGAAGGAGCGGAGGGGGCAGGGATAATTGAATGACCTTGACGTACAACTCTCAGCATGGTTTCTTCTGAGGCAAGCGAAAATCCCTCAGAGCTTTGTTTTTTTCCGATCTAAATCTCGACAAAGCAGAAACCTCTGAAATTCACGCCCCAGAGCCACTGCCAGCTTAATAATGATCCTGTTTCCAGAAATGCTACAAAGCTGCTACCTCTTGTACCTTAAAACCAAACCCAATGCAACACCCCAAGCTCTAAGACCCCGAACCCATGGGAACTCTTGGGTTACTGACCAGAGAACATAGCGCAACAGCAAATTGCTCCTGGGGCTGGAAAGGGAAAGCCACAAAAGGTAAAAACGAAGTGCTGAAGCAAGTATGTAACAGGAAACGAGTCAGCCCTGGTAGGCGATGATGAGTGCCGTGTGGGAGGGACTGCGCAATTACATTTTTTGTGCTGTGAGAACGAACGTGAAATTACAAGCCTGGCAAAACATCAGTGATCAGAAGCAGGCTCCACAGGCTGACCCCTCCCCAGGAAGCAGGGGACAAGGGGCGGAACTGCAGGTCTAAACACCCCTCTCGCCCTCTGCCTGCACGCCCCCCTTCCCCTCGCCCTTCCTCTTGACCTGGCCACGCTCCTTCTCGGAGAGCAGATGGCATCTCTGTAGGAGCATTATGAGTGATCCCCCTCCGGGACCTCGGGCGCTGGCTGTTGAAAAGCAAGAGTCCTTCCTCCTGTCCGCTCCACGGCTCGCTTGGGGAACGGCAGGCAAAGAGCAAGAACAAAGCCCTGGATGTTACAGCCCGCAGTACAGTCAGTCGTGAACAAGAGCGATCTGATTAGCTGGTGAGCTCGGAGCCAAGCCTCTACAAAAGGACTGGGGAGAGCCTGGAAGGGGAAAAAAATCCCTGCTCATTTCTAGGAAATCAAAATAAGAAGCATCACTTGTTTTTAAGCAGGGCAGGAAGGAGATATTTCTAAGTGTTAAGGAGGCAAAAATGATCTGAGAGTTTACAAACACGTACCAGAGCTCCCAAAATAGCTCTGACTTGTCTGGAAGGCATCAGAAAGATCCTTATTGTTTCATGTGTGCTTGGAGCGGCATTGCTGCAAGTGCTGCCAGTGTATGCAGTAGAAACAAGGCCTGGAAAATAAGTGTGCTGTTTTTTTATTAAGGCAATTTTAAATTTGTATCAGCTGCTACTGCTTAGAATAGTAACAACTCTTCCCCAGCAACTCTGTGGAGCACTCAGCACTCTCCACAAAAATGCCATGTGCGTGGCCAAAACTCCACGTAGCTGCGAACCAGATCAGCGTAAGGGTAGCAGAACTGCATGGGAAATCCTGTGTTGGAGGTGATGGGAAGTTTCCCTCTATCCTGCAGGATACCAGAGGTTTTAAGGCTTGCTTTACTGACACAAGCATCATCACTGATGGAAGGAAACAAGACTGAATGCCCGACACTGTGTGTGGGGGAAGATGTTGCAACAGCAACAGCCAAAAGAAGCAAGCCCTGATGGTGCAGGCTGCAATACAGTCCACGAGTGTAGCCTTTAAAATGGGCGTCACTTTAATAGGCATGTTTTTCCCCTTTGATTACTCACTTCCTCTAAAAGCAAGAGGAGCCAAGTGCTTATTACAAGCCAAGAACTTTTTTTTGCTATTATTTAATGGCAGCGTATAGCTGCTAGTCACACACTTTAAATCATTAGTGGCGTGACCATCTCTTTCCTTCCTGACGATTGCTGAGAAATGGCAGTGCAGACAACAAACCGCTTTTTATTTACCTCTCATAAATCAGGAGCAGTCAGGCCTCTTTTGTTCAAATCAAAAAGAAAATAAACCGGTCAGTAAAACGTTACCACCAGGCTGAGTAATACCCATACAGGTTCAGGAATCCTGCACTCTAGCCCGCTGGGGCTCAAAGCATCCCCATCTGTTTCCTTTCAAAATATTTAATCGGAGACAAAAGTGACAGTGGGGGAAGGGAGCAGGAGATCAAGCAAGGCTGGAGAAAACCACCTCTGCCCCACGCCGACAACGAGCTCTGTACTAACACACTTAAGCCAAGAGAAGGATGACTGCTGAGGAGAGAGTGACCAAAGGCTTTAATCTTTGGATTTCATAAGGCAAAACATTTCCTTTCTCCCACAGGAGCTGCCAGTCTGGAGCGCTCCCCGTCCCCCTCCCCTCCGCTGGCCAGGCTCTCCTCCTGTGTCAAAATTCCCACTGAAGCAGTAGTCAGCTAGATAAACAGAGCAGTCCCCAGATGCATCCCCTTGGAGGCTGAAGTAATAGGTCATGGGAAAGAAGCAGAGGCAACCATTTCCTTCTGATACTGTGGTCTCCACCAGCAGCGATCAAATCTGAAGTTTAACTAAACAAACCAGGACTCAGTCCCACTTGAAGAAAAATTCCAGTGGCCCATTAGAAACCATGTTTCTTCCTCAATAAATTACAGGTCCTAGGCTCACCCTGGCTGCCCAACTGGCTTGGAAGCCAGGTTAATTACAGTGAAATGTAAATTGAGAGTGTGCTGCTTGGTCAAAAATGCACCCCTCCCTAGAACAAGCTACCACTTAAGAAAGGGTCAAAAAAACATTAGTGAAAGTAGGAAAACCTTTCTACAGGATGCCTGTGATTACAGCTCTTTGGGTCTCTCTCTTAAGGAATTCTGTAGCTCTGAAGGACTTAAGCCTGACCCTGAGGTCAGGGGAAGGAAGTATTGTCCATTGCCCTGAAGTATGGGAAGGATGGGTAACTTCTCCATACTCACACCATGAGATGAAGCCAGGCAAACATGATTCAGATCTCCTGATCATCAGTGATGCAAGTTAAAAGCCTGCTTTTAACTTCTCCCAATTCTCCCTTCCCAGCCACTTTTTCCACAATACAAGCGATTTCTGTCACAGAAGAAGGGCAGGAGCTACCCATGACTATGCTCCCTCTCCCTGCCAGTCCCAGCGTTATGCTTTTCTCAGCTCAAAGTTTTCCCACCCAAAATCCAATCATTTTTATTGTCTTAAAAAATCTAAGCTTCTCCTCAACATCAGTCAGGCAGGTTTTCATGGCTTTCTAACATGTGAAGAGGGCAAAACTATTCTGAGAGGTTTAAACCAGGAAGCAAACAGGTCCTCAGAGGATTTCCTAGGGATCAGGAGCCTGAAGAGATCTGGCCAGAAGTAGGTCACATACTTGTCTATTAAAACAAATAATTAGTTATGTCAAACTATATGTTGGGTGGTTTCCAAAGGGAACAAAAGACATGGCAGTAAACCAGACAGAAACGGAGATAATACAGGACACTCTTTCAAAGCCATTTTGCAGACTGGATCTGGCTGCCTCGTTCAAGGAAAACTCTTCTCGTTTTACACAGGGGAAGGGCAAGCAGGCAGCTTTCTGTCTGCCAGAGCCTGCAGACACTCTTGTTACTCTGGAGAGAACCACATGAGGCTGTTTTTTCTAGCAAGGAGCAATTCCCACCCTCAGGCTGAAATCAACAGTGGTTAACTCTCTGCATTAGTACCTGCCATGGGTTCTTCAAGGGCCCCCCAAAATAATCAGGCCTTGCTGTCCAAATGTGAAGCAGGCAACTTTTAGGGTGGACACAGCCTGTGGTCCACATCCCTGCGACTAGGTACTGCTGACAGCAGTTCAGAGTGGTGTGAACGGCGTGAGAGCTGCTGTTCCTAGGCCAAGACAAGGCATACTGGAAGCTCTCTGGCTCCTTCCGTCAACACTTGAAAGTTACAGAAAGAGGTGAGCTCTTTCCTAAGAATAATGGCAAAATCCATGCTGAAACAGGGACTTCTGGTCAAGAGAAGAAACTCACAACAGGAAGGGGTAAATGCAGATAATGAAGTACTTAACCGACCTGTGCTTTCTGATGACATACAACAGGGTTTAACGGGACACTCCTTGGCTTTGGCACTGAAATGGACGGAGTGGCATTTACCGACACATATTGAGCAAGCACTACCAATGTACTGCCAACAGAAAGAGAACAAAACTGTAGCTCTGCAAACTTGGACCAACATCTGACAACTAAGCATGACTTGTAAAGAATGACTAACTACAAAATGCCTGTGTCATGGCTCAGTCTGAACACACACAGGCTTTTTAAAAAAAGCTACAATACTCTCCGATACATTTTTATAGTGTATCAGTGGTCGGCTGTGCCCAGCACGCTGTGTGGTACTGGAAAACGGCTTTCCTATTAAAGTAACTTTTTAAGTTCCCAAAGAAAACACAGTGCTCAGAGAGACAGCTCCATTGCATAAAGACACAATTCTTTGACCTGTTTGAAATAAAGAAAATAAGAATAGCACAGCAATGTTGATAGCAGTTAGTAAATACTAGAAGGCACGCTACGAAAGAAATAGCTTACATGGGCTTTTCTGGATTACCCCATTCAGGCTTTTAAGGCCGGTAAGTAAAGTATCCTCTTTGTTATGGCACCGTGAGGATCTTGTCTTTACTGTCATTTCACCCACCTGTGCCCTCACTCATCATCTTTGTTTCATTTTGGTCAGTTTTTAAAGGGAAGACAACTAAATAAGATGTTCTCTTTAGGACATGCATTCAGCAGTGAAGTTCTGGGCTAGGAGTTAATATGAGTTCAGGATTTACTGAAAGCAACCCCAAAGCATATGAGAGAGAGCTTTTTAAAGCCATGTTCCACTCTTCCCCTGTCACAAGAATGACGATCAGTGCTACGCCTGCAGCTGTTATCTACCTTGTCTGGCTGTATATTCGTTGTCTTCAATCAGTCTTGCCAATCCGAAGTCGGCAATCTTGCATATTAGGCCATTCCCCACCAGAATGTTTGCGGACCGCAGATCTCTGTGTATGTAATTCATTCGCTCGATGTACGCCATTCCTGCAGCCACCTGCGAGAAGCATGAAAGACAACCGGCGCATTTTAAAATGAACTCAGACATACACGGGCTATAAAATATGTAGACCAAAGTGCTCAATACTCTGAAGACAGACCTGGGCTGCCATGTCCACCAAATTCGGTAACTTCAAAGCTCTTCCTTCTCCATCTTTTAAGAAATCTAGCAAACTCCCTGCAAATGCAAAGTTGACACAATAAAGAGATGTTAGGGAAACCATGGCTATTCATCAGGATGGAGGTGCAGCAATATGTGCAATATTAAAGACGGCAATGTTTCAAGTTCAAGTGGACAGTTTCAAAAAAACCCACAATATCTTAGAATTCTTCTATTATACTTGTTTCACTCTTCTTTAAGGTTGGCTTGCAGAAGAATATGTCACTAGTCCAAAGAGAGTTGCAGGGAAAAGAAACAACATTGTTTTTAATTTTCCTGACCATTACTGAGAAAGCTGATCTTCCTTAACTTTTCCAGTGCTCTTTGAAACTACATACCTGCTGCTCTCTAAAGGCCTCAGCTAGCTGCAAAGCATCAGCTCGGTTCCAAGCCACACAAGCTATGGAAAAAGTCAGATCCCAGTTCAACTTGCTCCAAAAGAAAGGTCAGCCTGGAGCCTGGTACGCCCAAAAGGGCTAGCATTAACAAAGGCTAATTTTCCTTAGAAATTAGTAGTGCTCCTTCTCTAGGTAACCCATAACTAAACGTAGCATGAACCATTAATTTTAGAAGACCACTATGCAAAACTAGAGAAGACAAAGCAGAGATCAAATGAAAGCAATTTTAGCAAAAGCAATAAGGACATAGCTCCCCTGTGCAAGGGAAAGCAAGGAGGTTCCCTGTAGCTTTTAAAAAAAGCCTAAGGTGCTATAGCTCCCTTCCCAATCTTGTATTCAAACAGAGAAGTGTGGCAGTCTCCTTTAAATAAGGTCAGTGAATTGGTTTAATAAATAAGGGGGAAAAGACAGATGATTAGGCGTTTCTCCCTTGATAAATCATCAACCTCAAGCTCAGATCCAAAGATGTAAAATGTTACAGTAAAAACTAGTAAAGTAAGCCAAAATAAACCACGTACTTCAGAGGGATTTTGAGAAGTCTTTTTTTAAAGGGGAAAAAGCACATGCTTGTCACTGAGACATATGATTAAAGTGTGAGTTAGTCAGGGCTTGGACGCCTCTGAGGAGGGAGGTGGGCAGGCACCTGCCAGGAAAATAAAAATCAACTCCAAATAGACTGAAAAAATGCACTTAAAATTTCAGAGTGTATCCTCCAATGTACAATGAAACTTCCCTGTGAGAACTTATGTTTCCTATTTGGTTCACTTGCTTTTCCAAAACAAGCAGATTTTTTGCTCTGCTCTCAGCACCCCTGCTGGAGATCTGACGGAGCGAAAAGTTTTCCTTTTCTCATTTTACGACATCGTTACCAGTTAAGTAGCTTAAAGAAAAAGAGAAGGGAGAAGGGGAAAGGGAAGGGGAAAGAGGAGGGAAAGAATCATATGTGCAAATCACGTATTAAAATGATAAATGGGGTGGACTGAAAAGCTGTGATCTGAGAGCGAGGTGCATGTGACAGAACTCAGGATTGCTAAAAGAAGAAACAGAAATCGTAGGCCGACAAGTCAACACTGAAAGAAGATGCCGTATGAACTCTCTGGCGCCAGGAAAAGCTAGGTTCTTGGGAAGCAGCATGTAATATCATTCAAACTAGAAAATGCAAATCTCCACTTGTCAGGGAAGTTTAGATGCTGATGCAGTTGGAAGCACTTAGGCTGCACCAACTTCTCCCTCCCCCACCTAGCGCAAATTTTCTTTGTACATCTAGCACATTTCAGGTTTTGGGCCCAGTTCAGAGTTGAATTCATAATTCTTCTGAAGCCAGAGGTGAATTTGGCTTCCTGTTCCCTCTCTCCTTCCCCATACGCTGTTCATGCATCACACTGCACCTCCCTCTGTATCCCCAAGGAGCATCAACAAAGAAAAAATATTGTTATCAAGGGCAGCAGCTCTGGCTTCACCTTTGCTCATGTACTCCGTGACAATATAGATAGGTTCTTCAGATACCACAGCATAAAGTTGGACCAATTTGTCATGTTTTAGCTTCTTCATGATTTGGGCTTCCTCTAAGAAAGATTCTGGAGACATAGTGCCAGGCTTCAGGGTTTTGATAGCCACTTTAGTATTTCCGTTCCACGTACCTACAAGCACAGATACTTCGTTAGATTAAACAACATCTCCTCCTTCTGCCTGATGCCTAATGTAACCAAGGAATAAACTAGCAAGGACACTTAATATAATTATTTTTTTAAAATGTGGTTTCCCATGTTGCCTTATCATTATATTCCTCCCACGCCTCCCTCATATTTTAGACTTTTTCTATTATACTGAAAAATAATACTCCCATTGGCACTGGGGCACAATCACCATTGTCCTATTCAGACAATGCTTCTACTGATGTCCACAGAAACCTTCTCTGAGTAAGAAATGCGGGACTGCTGAAACCCATCTTCATGTATTCCCTTGCTAACAAGTAATTGCTACAGACAACAACACAGCTCCAGTCACACATTTGGATAACAAAACTGGTTAAACTCAGAACTTTCCATTTGCAAGACATTTTAACGTTTTGGTTTTGTTCTGAGTCAGAGGAAAAAACATATTCTAAGAAAAATTCCCAAGAAACAAATTCTGAATCGATTTCATTTTAGAAACACGGGCGTGTTTCCAAACCGAAATGTGTCTTTTTCCTTCCCCTCCTCATCCCCAGAAGCCCAGCAGCCGCTGATTGAAAACGAAGTGGTTCCCACTTTGGTCTTTACTTGCGGTCAGCACTGAGATGGACAAGTTGCATCATTTTTCAGCCATCCTCTACCAAGCCTCCTGTAACACCTGAAAGCCTGCACAAAGACCTGTAGAGAGCTGGGGAAGGCTGACTCAGGGCGTCCCACAAGAGGTGGGGCTTCACTCGGGTATTTGCAAGGGGGAGAAGGAGGACTGGAGAGAAAAAAAAAACAAAACACCTACCTATGTTAGCAGTTTTTTGGGGGGATGGGGGACTGGGAAAATTAAAATGGGCAGAAATATCACTTTCCTAGCGCCTTCTGGTTGTCCCTTGCCCAGACTTGCCAGAACCCTGCTCCAGAGCCAGGGCTGAAATGGCTTTGAATGGGACCTGTGATCTGTGGATAGGGAGCTGCTGTGTGATAAGGCAGAACAGTACTAAATGGCTTCAGGCATTAATCACATTGGGTAAAAATTACTCCTCTGCACTTAAGCGTGAGGATAGCAGAAGGCCTACAAAGTACATGAAGACTCAGACTCAGATCCAGTTTCTATAAATTAAGATGTCATCAAAAAAGGTAACGTGTAAAATAAGCCTGGTTTGTCTTTGTTAAAAGCACATTAACAGTTATCGGGGCTCAGCTGCTGCATGGGAACTGGTTAAGCCAAAATAACTTCATCATGAGCTTTTGCAACCTGCCAGAGCATAAAATGAGCTGGATTGTTTTCTGTGCAAGCGGTCAGGTCCCAGCTGCCACCTCGCCCAGCCAAGGACAGGGGAGGAGCAGCAGGGCAGCCACTGCCTGTGTCGTCCCTGGCTTACAGGGCAATCCCCGCAGTAACACACGCTGTCCGAGGGGGGCTTGAGGCACCTATCAGCCAAAAGTGTGCGGTGCAAGTTCGGTTTTCACTACGCCTTGATTTCCTTCTGCCAGCTCAGTGCCAGGTGCTGTCACCTCTACCAGTGGTGGAGTAATGTCTTGAGTTACTACCACCGCTACCCCTGCGTGCTTGAGGAGGACTCTTGAGGTCTTAGTTTCACTCAGTCCTTCAAATCTGAGCTGAAGAAGGACTTGGATTTAGTGGCAATCCCGTGTAAGCTGGGAAGGATGCGGTTTCACCTCCTAATTTCAAGCAGGGTGGCCAAAATCTTTTCTGATGGGTGAAGGGGAGCGTGTTTTATCTGGAGCCGCTGAGGCTCTGGACCGCAGAGTGCTGTCAGTCACAGCCGCTTTGCAGAGGTATCGCAAATTATATGAACCAGGAATGAAACCCTAGTTTCACGGGCACCAGGGTTTCTGTCACTGGCATTAATAAACTAGGATTTTACCTGGTGTGTTAACAGGATTAACTGTGTATTATCTGTTTGCAATGCCTTAATAAAAATCCCAGGACTTGTTCTATTACCATAAAGTGTTTTCAGCAGTTCTATTTTTAAATACTTTTATGAATTTCTCCAGTTAAAAAAAGAAAATCAAACAAAAAGGTTAACTTATCCTCTCAGCCCAGATTTCAGTTTAAATTTTTAAATTTTTTTGTTGTGGTTTGGTATGTTTCTCTCTAATAGAAAATTAGCATAGACTTCCCTCTGAATTCCTCCCATATGTAGTTAGTTACTACTTAATGCATTTTTTATTAACTTTTACTGTGTTAATCTATTCCAATTTGGTAATGCTTAAGGGCTGTTAACATATTTTTACTATACACTACTTTAAGAAACATAAGGTCATAATTGTAATAATAACTTCTGCATTTCTGACAGATATTTGGTACTGGTACTTGGCATTTTATTTCTCATAGCTGATTTTTTTTTTTTAAATTGCATTTGCTCCTTTAGCTTATTGTATCAGTTTAAGATCTACGGCACACAAAGCTGACCACTAAGTATTAACATCAGCTTGAAACTCTCGCATGCATTCAAGATGGAGAACAAGAAGGTGAAACTGTACTTATCTGGGGATGCTAACAGAAAACATAGGTAGCTTTCTTTGCAACAGGTCGACTGTAATTCTGTGAAATTCTATAAATTTCTATATTTCTAGTCTATAAATTCTATAAATTTCACAGACTTGCTGCCATGCTCCTTGCTGTAGTCTTGCAACGGAAAACAGCTGCAAGAACCCAGGAGAGCCCACTGGTTATTTTGGTTGTACATACTTTTGTGCCACTGCAACAAAAAGAGCGGCCAAACTGCTCCACCAAATTTTTCTGAAGAAACAACATATAGCGATTCTTTATTTGAATTGGCCATTTTAAAGAGGCTACACAGAATGCAATTTGGCACAAAAATTGGGCCCACCTCTCATTAAATAGCCACTATATTGTGTTTCAATTCTATGGCTATACTAAGATTTATGTATATTTTAAATTGCTCTTTTTTTATAGTCACTAAAAGAACGAGGCCCATAGAGAGGGGAGCAGTAAGTAAAGCTGGCAAGTGCGCAGAAAACAATGTCAGTGGATTTAGAAAATGTCAATATTTCTGGACTTCAAAGTGGGGGTTCAGCTGGGCTGGGCAAGTCTTGCCCCTATTGTCCCTGTTCTCTATATCGAGTTACGGGTTCTGCTGCAGATACAAATGTCAAAACAGACTTAAAGAAGTGGAAGCATGGGAGAACTAGCTTGACAATATTAGCTTGCTGATACTTGCCATTATTTTTAAACTGGGAGAGCGGATGGAAGCATTTTCAGGGTCTGACCCCATCAGTGCTAAAACACATGAGGAAAGAAGAATGTCTACTTACCAGATTAATTTCTGGTTAGCCATTCTGCCTTACAAGTTTAGCATCATTTCTATTTTAATACCTAGCAATTGTGTAGTCACCCAAATAAACCCAATGCAATTAATGAAGTTTAATGCCCTAACCTCTCATACCAGTGCGTGCAAATGAGAGGAAGTTTCCCTGTGGATTACTGTATTTAGGTCTGACTGTTTTAGGCGATATAGACTAACATTTCATACTATTCTGATCTTTTAGCTTTAAGATCTCTACTTGAAATGTTTATTTCTGCCAAGAGGGCCTTAAAAGATCCGTCCAAAGCAAAATATATTCTCTGCCTTACCACGCCACACTTCAGCGAAACACCCCTGACCAAGCTTCTGTTCCAGAAATAATGAATCACGTGCAACTTCCCATGCATCTTTAGCCAATCCAACAGTTTGTGGGGTATTATTCGTAGCAATCACAGTTAAGTTAAAACACAAACCATCAGCTTTCTCTATAGGAGAGGAAATTAATAAAAAAAACACACTTATAATCCAAAATTATGCATGCATTGAGAAAGATGGAAGGTGACTTGTCTCTCAGTGCTGCATTAAAGTTCATTTGCAAACACTGATTTTTGGATACTGAAGGTAAGGACTTTTTTGTTAGCTTGCAGAAAAAGGCTCCTTGGTATAATTAATAGATTACTATGCAAGCCTTGATTTATTATTAAGACAGTGGTAATTTGTCAAAATCGAAACCTTCCAACGAAACACGGAATTTCAGTTTTCTTTTGCCATCAATTACAGTGAAAGTTGAAGATGAAAGAATTTCAAAGTCAAAGACGTGATTCCAAAGACATTTTTCCTAACAGTTTGAGCTTTGCTCTTTTTTTTCTTGTGGGTCACAGTGCCCTACATTTTCACCTTCCATCTTGTAATCCCCACACAGAGAGCTATTTTAGAATAATTATTTTGCTCCATACCCATCCATACTTCCCCAAACTGCCCATTTCCCAGTCTCTTGATCAACTGTAGGGATTCTCGTGGAATTTCCCAGACATCTTTGGTTTTGACAGACAGATCAGTAAGCCTTGGCATTCCTTTATGACAGGGGACTACTAAGCGGCAGCAAAGACCTGCAGCTCTCTCTGATGGAGCCAGAAGTGAAGCCAACAGCAAAGGAGAGGAAAGAAAACAAAAGTGTGACATGAAACAAAAACAGTAAGCATAAAAACAATGCTACTCACAACAGCTGTTAGTTGCATACCACAAAGCATCCTGGAAGATTAGAAATTGAACACTGAAACATATTCATTTGAGACAGAACAGGAAATATTTTAGTCTCTGCTTCCACAGCCTGAAATGAAAGGTGACCGCCAATGGTTTCTCTTGTGGACTCAGGATTTCCCTTCTCCCACAACGCTGCATTAAGATAACTTCACGAGTAACTGGTATACTATAGTACAGTATAACTTTTTAAAAATCATCTGTAAGTCACAAACTGGATTGTTTCTGTACTGGGTAAAAGAAACAGAAAAGATTCACTTTTTCTGAAAATCACAGCGATGAGTATTTGGTGGACTTTTTTGCTAATTTTTTTCTAGGTATCCTGGGAAAAGGTATTTTCTATATTCTACTCTGTGAAAAGGTGTTTTTGTAGGTGTCCTGTAAAAGACTTTTTCTGCCATTCTTTCTAGAGCGAACCTTTATTAGCGTATGCAGCCAGTCTTACATTGTTTGGGGCACATTCATTATACTTATCTCTTGCAAAGCTTCCCAGAAGACTGAACTGTGACAGAAGTCACAAGATATTTTAGCAGGACTAAAATCAATGATATATATATAAATACACATATACACACATATTGTTGTGTAGTATACTATGCTGCACAAAGCAGACTACAATATAAAGCTTGCACAGCGACTTGTATCTTAAAACAGGTCCAGCAGAGCAGAACACGGTGGGGAACTGCAATTGTATTTCAGACTCAAACATAACCTTTATTCTCCTGTGCAAGATTTCCTTCTGGGCAGGTGAACAGTTTGTTTCAGCATCACAAGGTGGGCAAGCACTGAAGCTCCTTGCAACACCAAGCTCTACCTCCCCAGCACAAATGTTGTGGGATGGTGAGGAAGTCCCTACAGACACCCTGACATGACATGGACCTTGTTGTGTCTCCTGTAGCAAGGCAACAAAGACCACAAAACAGGGAAGATTAGCTGACTAGTTGGCATGTCTTATTCCAAGAAAATTCCAATGGGAACACTAGGATAGGGACTACTCAAAATATGGATAGTATCTGGAAAGCTTCCTTATGAGTTTGGACAGCTGCAGAAGGAACTGGAGGTTTTTAAGACCTCCTTGTTTTCTTTAGTTGAAAAAAAGCTTGGCATGCTGGTGCTCCAGTTAAGCCTACACTGCACGCACAAGAGCTTATGCTTGACAGGCCGGCTGTTAGGGATTGGGTGAACGGTGCTTCAACTTCAGACGTGCCGTTACTGGACTTTAGTCTGACGTCAGGACACCCTGGGGACCTCAGTATTTTTCATTGGTAAATCTCATCTGTGAAAGTCCAGACACTGCAGTTAACTTTATTATCCAGGTAAGAAGGGGCTGGGATAAGAGGGAAGTCCAGGTAATAAGGGTACTCGGCCGTGCAATGGGAGCACAGTGCAGGGATGCCTGTGCTGTGTCTGCACAAAGGTACACATTGTACTTCCAACTCCTGACCCAGGACTGCTTACGTGAGACCAAACTGCACACTGTCTACCTGAGTAGCCTGGTTTCCAGCTGCCTGGACAGGAGGGGTCCTCCAGCCTGGACAGCTATGGGATGAAGGCTGAAGGGTGGGCTGCAGATCAACCACGCTGATCTTTACGGAGTCATTTGGACATCTTTGAGCTCTCCCTAGAAGTAAATCTAGGCACTCGCAATGCATTGTGTTAATCTACCTCCCACAATCCAGAGTGCAGAGCAGGTGGTTAGAGGCAGCCTTTATGTTTTGAGTCAGCTGGGGCTGGCACGGAACGAGGGCTCCTGTGTTCACCTGGGTCTGGGAGACCGCAGGTGAAACCTCTGGAGTGTAGCCCTCCTGAGCTACCCTACCGGGGTCCTACTGATTATGCCTCTGTGTTGCACAGAAATGGCTGTTTCCAGATCTATTTGTTTTTGCATCTGTGCATGGAAAATACACCACCCAAATAATTTGACCACAGAAAACTAAAAGTTGATGTATGCCAGCTAGTATAGTGGGGATGAAAATTATCTTCCTTAGATGTGAGTTTTTATACATTATTTATCTTAGTTTAATGTAGAGTCACCAGAAACAACTAGAAATTCTCCCAGGCAGCATACACCCATCAGAAATTGGGTGGAGAAGACAGCCAGATGTCTAGTATGAATAGCATAAGAATACAGCAGACAGAATACAAAGAATACAGAAAAAACACCCCACAGAGAAGTTGATTTCCCAAGTAAAAATTATGAAAAGTTTTTGAGCAGCGAGCATTTGGGGTCATCTGTTAATACTATGAAAAGCTGAAGTAAGGAAAAAATAAAAAGCAAAATAATTCAAAATACAAATTTCTGCTTAAAAAATCACCATGTTGAGAAGCATGGCAGTCTTCTATGCAAGAACCGGTTGTCCTATGGTTTGGGGGGCTTTAAAGTTGTATCTGTTGTATACCAATCGCCAGTGACAGCAGGATGTACTTCTGGGTTGAATAGTGCATGCCACATTTTAATCACAGGAATTAAAAAAAAAAAAAAAAAGAGCTTGATGGGTGGACACAAACAGTGTGCATAAAGAAACACCCACCTTGCCATATTTATTTTTAAAATTAGACCAATTATAATTTAAATGTTAATACTTTGGACATTGAACACAAAACCAGTGGGAAAATTTGAGTCAGGTAATATATGCAAACCTTTTGGTCATTGCTTTAGGTGACTGAATTCCACAATGCAATTCCCTGTTTGCTTTATTAGCAATAGTGTGCTGCAAAACGGTACATATTAGCACTTGCTTATGCACGGAAATTCATGCTTTGAGATGTGCAAGTCAAATTCAGTAATTCTGTTTGCTTAGAAGAGGGAGAGCAGGCAAAACCTTTACCTCAGTAAAAAGCTACCTTGCTAGCTTTTTAAAGCTCTGCCGCTGTACACTGTGAACGGCACTCAAAGCCATTTATAACTGTAATGGGAAAGGGATAATGGAAGATGCATTACAACAAGCAAGAGACATAGCTCAAATGATTCTTTAGGGCGTCTTACACATACATCAGCTCAGCAGCAAACACTTTTGTTTTAAAATACTTCAGAGTGCTGTGTATTATCTGAAAAATTACCTGAATAATGCTGAACCAGCTGCTGAAGAGTTTCAAATTGTGCCCGAGTTGTGATATAATATCCACCATTGTCAAGTTTACGAATCTTATAATGTTTGACGTGATCTCCTTTCATATCATCCCAGTCTCGAATAGACAGGGAATAGGCACCTGTTCCAAGCAAAGGAGAAATAAAAAATGGTAAGTAGCTTTTAGACACAAAGATTTTGGTTTGCTGGTCAGTTGTAAAGTGAAAGAGAAATTGCTTCCCAAAAATGCTTACTGTACTTTGAAAAAGAACAAGTGAATCTAACATAATGAAGTAAGTATCACAGAAATCTTAATGATGTTCACACCATGTCCCTTTCACACTTTTCTAGAAAGAAATCAGGACTTCTGTGTAAATGAAAACTCAAATTTTAACATTTACTGCTTCAGGTTGCTAAATTGACTTTTCCTATTCTAAGTGTCAGGTTACACTGCAAATACTATATTTTAGGTAAATGCCAGCGGGCGGTAAATACCAAGACTTTCATAGGAAGCACTGCAGGTAACTACTTTATATATGTGTAGTGTTGTTACCCAGATGGATCCCAAACTTCTTTATAAACATTAAACAACCAAATTAGCATACTTTGTACGTCACAGTGTTTGGAAGGTGGTACTCCACCAAGACTGTGCACCAGGAGATCTGCAAGAACTGCATGTTTCACTTTCCAAATCCATGCTGGAGCTTTAGAGCTTACTGGTGGGATTCAGATGCCCAAACACAGTGGTTAAGTGCCATGTGAGATGCCCCAGGACATCCTGCTTGGCAGTTTTCCCACAGGCTGTTTGTCCAATCCACGTGGATGCCCTGCAGGCATTTCAAATGGCTCTGGGTGCTCACAGTCAGGTAAAGGAACCTCAGCTGAGGAGCTGGATTTTGTTTTAGGTGTAGCAGTGGCTGTCTGCACGTGGGCTACGGGCTTGATTTAGATGCCCACACATAAGCTTCTGGCGCTATTAGGGCAGCTGAATCCCAGCCTAGTTTCCATGAGTGTTATGGCACTGTAGATATGAATGGCGTAATGCAGGTTTGAGCACTAGGTGTCTGCAGTCGTGGGCAGTTGAACTGAACCTCAGCTTCCCGCTGACTGTAAAGGGAGCTTGGCCACCTTACATGGGGACCTGCACATTCAGGTGTCTTAATTTGAAGCACAAAGACAAGTCTTCACTCATGGCTCAGATGAATATTGTGTTTACTCAAAGGTAATTCAGACATTAAAAGGAAAAAAACTGGAGGTAACTGGCAGCTGCAGAGATCTCGGGAAGGTCCTCCATCTAGAGCCTGGGCTGCTGTGAGTGGTAACCATGTCAGCTAAGGGCAGGAAAGGAAAACTACCAGCAGACAATTTTGGGCAACGTGCAAGGTGACCTGATTTCCTACAGGTCTGATAGCAAACAGCACCGACTGCTGCTTATCCCAAGTCAGGGTACTTTTCAACACACCTGGCAGGTTCACATCCTCCAGAACCACCTCCAGCTAAGTGAAATGGTTTAAAGAACCCCCCGCAGTTAGGTGGTTGAGATTCCTGGTGTAAGATGTCTTTCCTGGATGTCTCCCCAGGAAGAAGTTTCCCTGACCACGTTAACCTGCAACAGGTTGCACTGGCAGGTGGCTCACCGCCCAGGGAGCTGCAGTGAGCAAAACGTCTCCACCCCGACTCCAAAGACTTCTCAAATTCCCTGTTGTTTGTCCTCTAAAAAGGAGGAAAAGAGCCAGCACTTACACAGATGATTCTGGTTTATGTGAATGGGAGACACCCTGAGAGGAGTGACAGGGTTTTTATTTCTAAGTGTAGAAAAATACTGTTTGTTTAGGATATTTTTCTGAGGAGGTTTTCCCACTGAGTAAGTACATCTCTCTCAGCTAGGAGTTCAAAGCTTTTTGGGGATTTGCAAGCACATCTTGTGCATGCTTTGCACCACCACTCTGGGTTGTACACTGTCAGCCTACTTTCAAAATTTTCCAGGCAGTGTTCTCCACCTCCGCATTTGTGAGTTTTGATCCACTGGCAGCAGCTGTATTTTCTTTAGTCACACTCCCTGCCTATCTGGTCACTATTTTAGATTCTTTAGGAAAATGTAAACAATCTGTGGCTCCAGGTCTGCAATCAGAGCTGTGTGGGTGGCCCTCTGTGGACCCCCGCTGACCTCAGATTAAGTTGCAGGACTGGAGCTTTAGTTCAAATCTGGAGAAAAACAAGAACCAAGATGGATTTCATTATTCATTTATTTAGGCTGTTGGTTATTTATACTATTCATTATTACCTGATGATAAATTCAAATATAAGGGATATACATGATAAAAATTTGGATAGAAATACGACATTACAATGTATCATACTAATGAATTTTTTAAAAAAACAAACCTAAAACCAGACAGCCTTGGAGGGTGGAGATTGAAACCAGGTGAAGGATTATACAGACAAGAGCTGATGAAGTACCTGGGTAGTCAGGCATTGAAAAAATGAAAAGCCAGCTCCATATGATTTATTTTGGAAGTAAGAAGAGAAGGCAACCATGATCAAGGGAGGTTAAATTCATGCTGAAGTCATCCATGATGATACTTTTAACATGATCCTGATTAATTTTATTATTGTTATTATTTAAAGCAGAAGGGATGATTCTAGGTCACAAAACAATTCCTGCCTCAAGCCCACAATGACTAGCTGGAGTAAGGCATTTTGAGAAGACTTATGGAAGAATGCACCATTCTAGTCCTCCCAGCTGACTTTTTTCTCTCTCATGAACAAGCTCTGTCTGTTTTCTTCTAACGACATACTGAAACACCACAAGGATGAGAAGGGAAATAGGCATTTTTGACAAAACCCATGCATGTTTGGTTTTTTCCAATGGCTTTGATGCAAACTTAGCCTGAAGATGTAGAAAGCCTTAAGTTCAAATGCAGAGAAATTAAGCTTGCTGCTATAAGTCCATCCATGATGGATTACTCTACTTCCCCAAAGCTTTTGTGTCTCACAAGAAGCTCTAGAAAAAAGCCCTGAGTCGGCTAAGTAAACAGCCCTGCAAAACATATCCCCTATCACTGTATAAAAAATGGTCAAAACAGACCAAACTGATGATGTGGTTTAGAGAAACAGTGTTGTGTTTGTTTTTAGGATCCATGGACGCCTATATGAGTGAGTTTTTAAACTCGGCACAGAGTGGAATGAAGTCCTGCTACTCGCACACATCACAACAACTGTTTGGTGAAAACGGACAGGTGGAGGCTATTTGCAGAAAAAGAGCAAGTTAGAGCCTGTCTTGCTCCTGGTGAGAATGCCTCACTGCTACATAAGGTATGGTGAAGCTGTGGGGTGACAAGATGGGAGATTAGCTGTCTGAAACAACAGCATGTCTATTCAGATTTTGCATCAGAAACAGCCTTCAGAGTTACGGGCAGCGAAGGAAGAATCCAGTGACTGCAGGAGTCAAAAATGTAAACCTTACAATTTTAGATGACAGAATGCAGCATCTGAAGATAGGTCAGGTAGAGAGGAGTGGGAAGTAGTGCTTTTCTTCTTTAAGCCCCTTTACCAGCCATGACTCCCACCACTTTGCATGCTAACTCTAGCTGACAGAGTGTGCTCTGATCAAAGCACTGACAAGTCAGTGCTTTAACTACATGAACCATCATTAGACTTCAGAACTTACATGGAATTAATTCTAGCGATTTAAGCTTCCCACAGCTATTGTTTTGGATTGCTGGTTAATTGAGAAATGGCCAGGTTTGTTTTCACTTAGTTGCAGGTTTTCTCCTCACTATTTGTACGAGTTAGTTAGAGAGATCTTTTCATACATGTGAAGCTTTGAAGAAGATGTTGACAGGCCTCATGAACAAAATGTAAAAGCAAAGATAGCACCCACCAAGAAAACTGGAACGCCTCCAATATTTTTAGAGGGAAGGAGGAGAATACATTCTTCCACTTGACTTCAACAGAATGGATAAAGTTGAATGCTTTATGAATATATTAATTAGAAATATTTTCAAGTCTTTTCACTGTTAATCTATGAATTTAAAACTGCTACATCTTCCCCCCCCCCCACCCCCATCCAGCATTTCAAATGGGA